AAATCAACACAGAGAATAGAGTGCAAATGTTAGGGTTTTCTCTTATGCCAGCAAGAATAATGAAAACTTTATGGACCTCAAACCCTAACTATGTATATATATATATAAACCCAAACGGACCCGGTCCGGTCCGATCCAATATTTAATTAATCCAATTAATTAAACCCGATCCGTGAATTAATTAATCCAATTAATTAATTCGAGAATATAAATAACAAATCCAATTAATCAATTTATCCAACGATTGTTAAATTAACCAATTGGCAATTTGCAATCTTCCAATTCTCTTTTGTGTGCGACCCATTAGGTTCTCGACCACGATACCTAACGACGTGAAATATTATTTTGATCTAATCAAAATTGATAAATTAAAACACCCTTTTAATTTATCGTCAATTCACACTTCGCCGTCCCTGATTGATATCTAGTAATGTGTCAAGGCAATATATGTGACGGGAAATATCACGTGGTACGACAAAACCAAATTTGTTCGTTTACCGTGAAACTATTATCCCTTCGTCAATATGATCCGATCAATTACGAGATATGGAATTGTGTCAGTCTCGATCATCGATCATATCTTTCACTCCACTATTAAGTCAATATAAATCGAAAACTCCTTTTCGACTTATGAGTACACCTTGACCAAGGATTTCATCATCGACTTAATTGAATGAAACGCAGATCATAATCTCCTACTATCTAAGAGTGACGAATCCTTTATTGATCAATCACAACCTTCATATGATTCTTGACGTACCCGAACGATGTCGTATTAGCGGCCCTTTTCAGAGCAACATCCAACACCGCCAAAGTATGACTGTCATCATATAAGGCACCATGACGAGCTCAAGTCAAAGGACCAATTCCACTATCGAACATTAGAGATTAACTACTGACACTCAGATAGTTATCCATGTGGAATCTCTTAGTGGGTCTCCAATGTTTTGTTCTATAACAAAACATCCACGTGTTCATTTAAGTGTCACCACACTTTAGCTCGTGAGATCAGCTATTTACTTCACAAGTAAGAAATGCCACACGTGATGGTCTAACTGTATTAACGATATCCGTATCTCGTTATTACTTACGACCATGGTTTATTCAAGATCCAATTATATGTAATTTGTATTTCACAATCACAATTCCTTGTGATTAACAAATTACCTAAAAATTGGATCTTCGGATTCTATTATTTAATATTATTTATCACAAAATTAATTTAAATAAATAATAGATCTCGCCAAAATCAAATGCATTAAACATATTAAAAGCGTTTACAACCTAAATCGATTGGATCTAGGGCATAACACTTACATTTACATGGTTGATATTTTGGTTCTCAGCTATGTAATTGTTGTAGAGCATGATCTCAGTGTGCTGGATTACTTATCGGACTTCATTTGCTGCCTTTATGGCAAACCTGGTGCATATGGGGTTGTAACTCTTCCCTTCTCCGTCAGAGAAGGAATTAACATATTTTTGGCTGGGTTTGTCCCCACAGAAAATCTAAGATTTCGGGATGAATCTCTTACTTTTAAGGTAAATCATATTCTGGTGCTAGTGGCTAGAATTTTTATGCAACAGAGGCAACATATATGTATATATTTTTCTCTCAGGTTTCTGAGACTCCACAGGAAAGTGCTGAGGAAATTGAAACATATGCACGATATAGATATCCAACAATGACTAAGACTCAGGGAAATTTCAAACTTAAGGTCGTCGAGGGTGAATTTACTGATTCTCAGATCATTGTTATGCTGGGTGAGAATGGGACAGGAAAGACAATATTTGTCCGTATGCTGGTACTCCTCCTTTTTATTGTTTTTACTTTTCCTGAAATGTGCAGCAAATTTAGTTAAAAAATGCGTTTTCTATCATTTTTGTTGAATGGCAGGCTGGTCTATTGAGACCTGATTCGGTAGAAGGCTCTGATGTGGAGATACCTGAGTTCAATGTCTCTTACAAGCCACAAAAAATCAGTCCAATGTTTCAGCAGTCCAATGTTTCAAAATAGTGTCAGGCACCTGCTACATCAAAGAATTCGTGATTCATATATGCATCCTCAGTTCGTGTCTGATGTTATGAAGCCACTCCAAATTGAGCAGCTAATGGATCAAGAGGTTCCTAATCTCTCTGGTGGAGAGTTGCAAAGAGTTGCCTTGACGCTATGCCTTGGAAAGGTAAACTTTCTTTGAGTATTATAACATATTATTTAGATTTCGTTCAAATCTGCTACTGTTAAGAAAAGAGACGATAGATTTGAATATTATTAGCTTGATATCAGTTGGCTGACCACAATTATGCGTACAATTAAGGAAGTGTATTCCTTATTCCCTAGGATTTTTTTGTCAACGTGTTCATGTTATTGACTATGTTATTTTGTATTTGCTTGCATTTTGTTGGCTGAAGCTAGAAAATTAATGACATTGCTGGTCAGTTTGATGCATAAGGCTGTGGAACTAGGATGCATTGTCAACAGTATTTGCAGTTATAAGCTTTATGCTGAATAGATAAAGATACGAAGTATTCTGAGCATTGAATTCAGTCTTTCCATGTCCCGTCCAAGAATTATATTTTAGGACACTAGTCTAGACTGTGAAGATGTTTTATACTCCCTGTATAAGAGCCTTTATCCAAGGACTTCAAAAAATGATTTGGCTTTTTTTTAATTATTTTGGCTTAATTTGTTAGCTGTAGAGCACGTTTGGCCGTGCTTGAAAGCACCTTTTTAGGTATATAACCACACTACCCAAAAAAGCCCAAAAAGCACAGGTGCTTTTTAAGCAACATGCTTTTCTAGATTGTTTTTTTGGACTTAATCCTTGTCAGTGTGTTAATAGTCACCCATATATTGTTTACTAAATGAAACATACCGTTTTTTTAAGTTTACGGGGCTTTTGTATGCACTCATGGAGCAAATGATACAAAATTGAAACAAAAAAACAAGTGTCATTGAGGTGTCAAATACGCTAAACATACCTGTATAAATTTTTGTTGCATTTTGAATCTGACTTATCCTATTCTGGTCTCTATGCAGCCTGATGACATATTTTTGATAGATGAGCCGAGTGCGTATCTTGACTCAGAGCAGCGTATAGTTGCTTCTAAAGTCTTAAAGAGATTTATACTTCATGCGAAGAAAACTGCATTTGTGGTCGAGCACGACTTCATCATGGCAACATACCTGGCAGATAGAGTGATTGTGTACGAGGGGAAACCATCAGTAGACTGTACTGCCAGTTCACCCCAATCATTATTGTGTGGGATGAACCTGTTCTTATCTGTGAGGCACCTAAATTTTATCTCATTCTTTTTTTTAAAATTATCTTTACTCTAGTTAATCACACGTTAATGCATTTCATCATTTGCATACAGCAATTGGACATTACATTTAGACGAGACCCAACAAATTACCGCCCAAGAATCAACAAACTGGATTCAACCAAGGATAGGGAGCAGAAGTCTGCCGGATCTTATTATTACCTGGATGATTAAATCAACATATTTTAGCTCGCGGGATTACCTTTTTTCACTGGAACCTAGACGTTGCCACAAGCTGTACAATGCCAATTCTTGACGAGGAGAGGGCTTCATACTATGCATGGGTTATGATGTGATGGATTATGTCGATGAATGAGAGGTGCTTTTCTTTCTGAAGCAGTTGTTACTGCATATCAACAATAGGTCCTTTTGCTTGGTGACATGATGCAATTGAAATAAGTTTCTCATATTTTTTCGCACTATTTGCGCTTCATACGCCAGTTTTATCCATGTCGGGTGAGTTGTACCCAGGATGATTTTATACTTCATGATTCAATTATTTTTTGAATAAGAATGTTTGGCCGATTAGTCAAACTGACATTCTACGAGTTTACAATGTCCAAATAGCAAATACATACATACATACATACATACATACATATATATATATATATATATA